TTACCTGGGCCTTGCTGTCGGGGACGGCCGCGGCGTCCTTCTGCAGCAGCTGGTAGCCCAGGTTGGAGATCTCCTTCTTGATGCTGACCATGATGTCGGAGTAGTTCTCGTAGCGCTTCATCTGGTCCGTCAGGTGCAGGACGCTCTCCTTCATGAAGTCGCTCTCCCTGCTCAGGTTGGTCTTGATGCTCTGCGCGGGGACAGGGGACAGGGCATCAGGCGGCATCTCCACCTGCCCTAGGCTCTGTCTACTGAGGGGAGGAAGCCGTGCCGGGGCTGGAGCTGATGGGGCCGCGAGGCCTGTCCTTGTGTCGCCCCCACGTCCGCCAGGCCTGCTGACCCCGTGCACTGGGGACAGTTCATAGCAGACTCAGGTGTCCTGCGTGGGTGGACACACTGCCCCTGGCTCAGAGGGGTCAGGAATGAGCTATCTCCCCCAAGGGCTCGAGGGATGCTCAGTCACTGGCTTGAGGGAGCCAAGGAAGGATGTTCCCAGCCTCTTGCCCTGCCTTGTGCCAAGCCGATCTCAGCGTCTGCACCCGGTCACTGGGCAGCGCAGGGGCGGTGGGTCTCGCGGCCGCTCTTACCTCCTCCAGCGTGTTCATCTGGGACACCACCTTGTTGATGTAGGAGTGCACCTTCATCAAGTCCATGCTGTACAGCGTTCCCTCCAGCAGGTCGACCATGGACTGCAGCTGGGAAAGGGAAAGTGCTGGGGCTCAGTCCCGAGGGACGGGGCAGCCACGCGGCACGTGGGGCCCTGGAGGAAGGGGAGCTCCTGCCATGGGGCGGCTTGAGTCCAGGCCCCGCGGGTCCGATGCAACAGGGTTGCACCAGGAGTGCAAGCACTGCGCGGGCAGCAGCCTGAGCCGCCGGGCTGGAGCACCTCTGCCCGGGCACCAGGTCTGTCCAGGTGAGCGGTGCCCCCGTGCTCCGCAGCATGGGGCCAAAGGCAGCTGTCTCCCCTCGGGCTCCCTGCCCTAGCCCCCGCGGTCCGGTCAGCCCTTTGGACGCGCGGCCATCAAGGGCAGCACA